GACTTATTTGTTAGGTAGTTTTATGTAATTGTAGCAATTGCAAAAATCTTAATAAAGTACTAGCGTGACTGTCTAAGAAAAAAAAAAAAAAAAATGTTTGAAGACAAAACAGATTAAATATATATTAGCTTACTAATTACACAACAAGCAGACATTATATCTATATTAACAATATTTAAACAGCATTTTGAAATTTCAAAAATCCCAAACTATATTCTACAATTATTATCATTTTTAAAACCAATATGAGACATTCTATTTAAATAATAATGACTGAGCTATACCAAAATAGATACAACAATACCATAGAAAAAACACTAAACAAACATCATAAAACTGCATTAACTAAATTAACTAAAGTAATCTTATATAATATACAAAACACTAATAACAAAACTAGATAGCAAGCTCAAAAAAAAAAGAATTTACAAAACAAAAAAGAAGCTAAAAAGATATTACTAAAACTTGTTATAAAAGAAAAAAAACCTTTTTTTTCTTTTTAAACTTTAAGTAGTTAGGTAAGCAACCTACTCTAACATATTTGAAGTAATGTAACAGGTTGCACTTAGGTACTGTTTGGGTGGCTAGATGATGCTAGACTTAGTTATTAGAGACATCTATATAATTGCTAATGTAATTTCAAGAATTTTAATAAAGTACTAGCATGACTGCTTAAGTTTAAAAAAAAAAAATTCTCTTGTAGTTGTTGTACAAATAACTATTAGTTAAAACATACTATTAATAAAATCACAAGTTACAAGTACCTAACATTAAAAAAAAAAAATAATATAACAGTTATATATATAAGAGTAAATCTTAATGCTATATAAACTTTAAACTTTAATTAATTAAAATAATCATATAATCTTTGTTTTAAAAATGATTTTACGAACATAATAATTACTACATTCTATAATATTATTTTCAAAATAAAAGCTTATATACTGTATATCAATATATGGGAACGCCTACAACAAAAGCAGAAGATGGAACTATATAATATATAGTCCCATTCCCTGCTTTTGCTGTAGGCGTCCCCATATAAGAAACTATAACAAAAAATAATAATAAACAAAAAAAAAATTATTTGTAAAAACTTTATTTTTAAAAAAATTAAATCATTTAAATCACTATTAAAAAACCAAAAAATTTTTTTTGACTTATCACCTTTTACTGTAAAACTCCTTATATGTAAGTACTAATACTAAATAAAGTTACAAGACAAGACCTTACTTTAATATCAAAAAACTATATATATATGTATAAAACAAATCTATTTGTTCTATTTTTATTAAAAAAAATTATAAAAATATAAAAATGATGATTTAAATCTGTCTTGAAGTATTAATAAAAATAGTATAAATACAATTTTATTTACACTATATACATATTCTTATTCTAATATTAAAATATAATTTTATTTTAATAAAAATTACAAAGTTAAAATAGATATATAGTATTACTTTGTGAAAATAAGCGTTACCTATTATTATTAAACTTTTTTATACTATTAGCAAAAAATAATAAAATAATACTTCAGATAAGTAATAAATTGGTTAATAAAAAGATTTTTCTAAATACATTTTATAATCAGCTTACGGTTTATAATTTTGATTTAGGGTTCTTACTATTCTGTGTTATAACATTAATAATTATTTGGCCTCTTAACCGACCACTTGACAATTATAACCGGTTCTTATCTCTACTTATCATGTCTATCATGTAAAGCATCCCAAGTACAAATATTCAATTACGTTTTTATCAGAAAAAATATATTGTGTAAAGTTTACAAAATTTTATAAAAACAATAAATAAATGGACATTAAAACAATATAAACGTTTGTCACATGGCATTAGCCCTTTATTTACAAAAGAGATCACAACAAATTATAAGTTACTAATTCCGTTGCTCCTTAGCAACATTGTTATGCAAGACGTCTAAGAAATTTCGAATCTCATTCAACAAATGATCAACACCTCCGGACTTTTCCTCTTCAACAAAGTCAATAGGATGCCACTCTGGTACACGCCCTGACGATAAATTACAATTTTCTGCGAAATCCCTCTCCCAACTATCTTTGTAAAACTAAATTAAAAAAATAAATATAAAATTCAATTTATAAACAGCAAATCAGTGCGGATGCAAGAAACACATCTTACCGTAACGCCGAAGAACGTTTTTTCCGAAGGTTCGCGGCCCAAAACAATCTCAACTCCAGGAGATATGGATTGAAATTTGCTATCACAATTCCAATGTTCGTATCTTGTAATCTCAACTACATAATTTTCCCCCCACCAAAATTTCCATTTAAGCTTTTCACAGACGGAAGTAACTACAATATCTTCGGTATTGGTGTAAATCAATTTATTGTTTTGGCTAATTTGAGACTTATTTAGAATTTTGATAAATATGTTTGAAAACGTGTAAAATACATTTAATGTTACCTTAATCGCAATTTATAAACAAAATCTCCTTGAGGGCTAAATTTATCATTGCTTAATCTTTTTGCCGTACGAATAGAAAAGTTCCACGAATAATCGCTAAATAAATACGTACATACCAATATTTATAAATAGTTAATTTACAGATGCTGTTGTGATTATTTAATCACTTACTAGTCCAGACACGCCATATTAATGTTCAATACATTTCTTTCATTCATAGTCGCGTTCCATAATCCGATTTTGTTATCATTTTTGAATTTAACGTCAAATACACAATCTAATTTTGACTCCCCACGAGATTTGGGACGACGGAATGCACGAATTTTGTATTCACGGAAAGGAGATCCTTCCCATTGTTGATCTCCTTGAGAAACAACTTCAAAGAGTCCTTTGAGTTGCTCATTATTGGTAGCAATACTAGCAGATTTAAGTATGTTTTATTTGAGATGAGAGTACACAAACATATGTGGCAGCCGATGCTGAAATTTTGTCCTATTTAACATAAAATTTAAAATTTTTAGATAGGGTTGTTAATGGGTTGGGTTGATCCAATCTTCAACCCACCTCATTAAATTAAACTTGCCCCAGATCTGCTCCAGGTTGCACCAAATTTAAACCCACTTCAACTTAGGTTGGTTCAACCTGGAGAGGCTCTGGAGTATACTACTCCATTAACAACTCTATTTTAGGTAAATTTTTGATGAAAATTTCTTTTTTGGGGGGTTAGAATTTATGGTTAGAGTTGCTAATAAAAGAGCATAGGTGAATTTTAATAAATACCCCATGATATTGATATAGTGATCGGGGTATTTTAAAAAGTATATATATTTAAATAGGATCCCAAAATTTAAAAACCAGTCAATTTCAGCATAAACTGCCACAATATATGTAAAGGTGTATATAATATAAATCCTAAATTGGAAAAATACGAACCAAGTAACGAACTTGGAATTTAATTTAGGGCTCTTCAAAACCCTAGCATTTAATTTGTCGATTGGCCATAATGCATCTTTAGGGTAATCTGTAAGACATATTTGACCAAACCTGAGTTTATTCGAAGAATAAACTAGTGTAAATATTTAATATTTTGAAAACAATAATAATGGTTTTAGATTACCTGATGCGCATTTTGATTTCTTCGTCTAGCAAGTGGATCGCACCTAATGCTTGTAAAAGAGCATTCTTAATTCCTTCAACATTCTCTAATTGGATTCTAAAGGTTTGTGTTAATAATTTACACATGATATAAATCGTAATGAAATTTAATGACTAACCTTTGTAATGTTTCTAAATCCACTGGAGATTCTTTTGAGTCATTTTCCTTTCCAAGAATAGCTGGATCCCCATCTTTAACAGGTTCAAAAATTTTAATGGCAGTTTGCGTTTCTGCATCGTGAGGAAGCATATACCAATTAGGTATGTTTGCAATTCTAACACGATATGGTTGCTGAGGTATATCAGGTATATCAATCATATGATGCACCCATCCATTGCGTTTAGACTTATCATTCAAGTTTATTGGAATACTCCGACTCTAAAGTAAATAATGTGATTACGCTTCAAGATCGTGGACTCAATTAAGGAATGATGAAGAAATTTTAACTATACCGCGACAGATTTTAAATAAAGAACTTTGACACGCATAGTGGCCTCTTCTACCAAATTACTTTCGTTTCCAGCAATTTTAACCAACTATATTTAAAAGGAAAGATAACTTATTGATCCTTGCAAGTCTACTTTTAATAGTTTGAGATGTATCTATGCTTACCTTAAGGATTGGATCATAACCAATGTGGCAATTAGTATCCATTCGAATGGAATTCAGTACGTCTTCTTGTTTCCCAAGAATTTGATCAATAGGAATTTCATTATTAGTAGGTAACACAAAATGTGCTTTGTATGGCAACTTATTATTATCATAATTGGGACCAGCCATTTCTTTTTCCTTTTCAGCCCTCTCTTGCCTTCGTTTTTGCTTTCTTCGCTGCTTTTCTGTAAGTTCTTTTTCTGGTTTTGCCCAAGCACTCTTGTTCCTTTCTTCTCTATTTTTTTTAGCTTCTCTAGTTCTTCTTAATTCCTCCTTAATTATGATAAAAATATATACATATATATGTATAAAGTTCAGATGGATCGTCATAAATAATTTAAGAGTTCGAAAACTTACATCCAGAATATTCTGAGCGAGAGTGTTCCATTGTTTTAATGCTTCATTGAGTTCATCTCGGTTTCCCCACATTTCGATTTGCTTTAATAAACGATTGGCACTCAGGAAAAGATAATCCAATTTCAAATATCATTCCAATAGCTTAGGAGTATACATACCGCATCATTCTCGTTATAATTCATGTGTGTGTTAGTTGACGCTTCTATACGTTGCAGGTTGGCCTTTTTCTCACCAAGAATTTTCTTTGCATCAATGTTAGCTGGGATCTTTAAGCAGAATTTACGTGTACAGTACAAGATTCACGTAATGAACTTTATAAAAACATTGAAATACAATAACTTACCAGCCATACTTCGTCAGGCATTCTCCTTATATGTGAAGAAATAGCGTCATTATTATGATTACGTCCATCGAATCGTTGCCTTTGTCTGGAGTAAATCGGTTCTCTCCATAACTGTGCTTCTTCCTCTTCGTAATTTGCACCACTGTCCTCCAGTTTACGATAATAATTAGCCATATTGGGAGAGATGAAAATTCGATTTTTTTTTGCAGATCATAACAAAAATTTTCGATTTTACAAACATGTGATCATATACGTCATTATCAGTTATACTTTAGAAATAAATGCCTTTATAGGTAGCAAAATGTCTTGAGTGCAATGATTTTGGCCGAATAGTCAGCTTAGATATAGATAATTCTCGTGAAATACTGTAATTTTTACCGCCACGTGATGATCTACGAAATTTGGTGTGACGTTACGCGATCAGGAAAATTCAAAACAAACGTTCGTTATGTCAAAATTCGCTTATAACACTATATCTATATAGTTAACCGCCTTCTGTGCATTAACAAAAAGTTTTCCCTGAACGGTTTTACTAGTATAACTCAAACTCTAATCCTAACATAGGCCCTAACCCTAACATAAAGAATTTTGTATATCACGTGACGGGAAAATTTTGTTGCCGATAAGAGGAATTTTTTTACTAATAAAAGTTGATTTTTGCAAAACGAACGGTTGTTTTGACTTTTTTTACGTTACACCAGAACTTGATTTATGATTGGACGATAATTCACGTGAACGGTAAATCGATCCATCCTGTGCCAAGATTGGCCAATCATAATGCACGATTTGGTGTAACACGATAATGTTTTTGTGTTTGTTGATACCACACTAAATTTGTGTTGACCAGCCCAAATTATACACTTAATTTTGCCCGAAGTGGTATTGTTACACCGTACTATTTTGATAGGCGTAGATCATACCCTAGTGTTTTTGACGCTTCATTAATTTTTTTTTTTTGATACGACTATTCTGTAGAATCAAAATTCATAGGTGGTTACTGAGATAACTTCGCTCAAAGTTTTATAAAATTTTTGCCACGACCATCATTTGATAGACGTTTTAATGTTTTCAAGACTTTGAGAGATGATATGGGATCTTTGCTAGCAAAATAACCTTACGAGCCATTGTTACACAGGATTTTTATTAAGAAAATCATAGTAAATCTATTTTTAGAAAAAAATTTTGCTAGCAAAGATCCCATATCTCAACAACCACCTAGCAAATTCGATGAAATTTTTTTTTTATTTTGATTCAACGGCAAAATTTTTATAAAACTTTGAGCGAATCAAAAAAAAAATAATTGTTGAAAAAATTCAAATTCTATGAAAAATGAAACTTTTGCGTCATTGTTGTCCCCATAAGCACATAAGCACGTGAAATGTTGTGCCCATGTAGGAGCGTATACTTAACAATGCCAGGGCGTAGGATCGATTTTACTGGCACATGATTTTCCGACATATAGCAGCCAATCAAAGATCAGGATTAGGTGTAACGTGAAACAAACGTTCGCTTTGCAAAAATCCAAAATTTAGTCTAGTAAACCGTCTTTGGAGTCTTAACAAAAAAATTCCTTTCTAACCTAAATTCTAACTCAAATATAAAAGAAGTTTTTAACTTAGCAGTATTTGTTTTTCGAGAATCATATTTCTGCAAGTGATACAAGCCCCAAAAGGAAATTTTCCATGTAGATCGCAAGATCAGATGCAATCTTTGTGTAACGTAAGATTGAAGGATTTTTCAAAATATCGCTAGTAACTCAAAATTTTGCCATTTTACGTTTTAATAAAAAAAATTTCTGGCCAAATTTTACTATATAATATTTATAATACCAACCTTTAACCTAGCCCTAACACTGGTCAAATTCTACGTACTTTTAGTAAAATAACAATCATTTTTCTTTTTTGGGTTTGTATTACTTGCAGAAATAAGTAAATCCCTATGTAAAGATTTTCATTTTCTGCTATAATAGATTTGCGTTTTACAAATCAAATTTTTTAGAATTTATCCATATTAAGTAAAATTATGTAATTAAAAACTGGTTTTGATATATGAATAATAATACCAGTTCTGATTAGAGGTGTAAATAAAATTAGTTAAGACAATCTTTCAAAGTATTGATTAGATAATAATGTTACTATCAATTAGTAATTTAATATTACTAATAATCAATTTGACAATAATAGTTTTTATTAAACATAACAAAATAAATTAAAAAATTTTTTATTTTAACAAATTTATCTGTAATTTTTTTTTTTTTTTTTTAAACCTTAAGCAGTTATGCTAGTACTTTATTAAGATTCTTGAAACTATATATCTATACAATTACATAGAATTTCCCAACATCTAAGTCTAGCATCACTTGGCCACCCTAATGGTACCTAAGTGCAACCTGCCGCACTATTCTAGTTAAGAATAGACTGCTCGTCTAACTACTTAAAGCCATACCAGAAGGGTCTTCCCCCTTCTGTAACAAGCATATTTATTGTCTTCAAAGCTTTTTTCTTTATTTGGTCTGCCTTTTCTGTCTTCTGTTCTTTTACTTCTTCTTTAGTTTGTTTATCTTTTTTTATTTTCTTCTTTGGTTTACCTCTTGTACGAGTACCTTTTTTCATTTTGTTCATTATATTGGTCTTTTTCTCCCAAGCTTGTATTTTTTCACATCACACTCTTCATACTTGGTTATAGAAAGTGTTCTATACTGTTCTTGTGACTATGTTTATGTACTTCTGTGTTGCTTGCTTACTTAGGAGTAGCTTCAATCTTTTTTCTACTTTTATTGTTGTGAGTCCTTTTATTAGCACTTTTCTGTTTGCGATTTTTTCTGCTTCTGTTTCTCTGAACAATGTCTTATAAAGAACTTGTGATGGAATTCTGTTCTTCTTCTCTTTTTTGAGTCCATTTCATGCTGTTGCTATTGCAGCTTTTTGAATTCATTTCCACAAACTTTTTTGTTCACTACAATTTGCTAGATGTACCTGGGTCTTTTTTTCTCTGACTTGGAATACTTGATACTCTACTGTTGTATATATTTCTGATCTTCTTTTGTTTAGCTCCTCAAGTGTTGGTAGGCTATTCATTATACACTTGATTGCTATAACTCTTCTTGTGCTGAGTTTTCTTGACATACAATGGACTCTTTTTGTTCTGTTCATTTCTTTCCAAAAACTTGACCAATTATGTAATGCATTTTCTGTCTCTAGTTCTAATGTTCGTATTGGGTTTGTCTCTTTCTAATTAGCTTCTATTTTGGCATTTGCTATTATTTTACACAGAAGTCTTGCTGGTATGTCAATTTTCTTATTTTCTCACTCTAAATAGTACTCTATTCCATCATATTTGACTTTATCTGCATATATTTCATTTCAGCATTTTGCTTATTTTTTTGCAAGAAGGTCTGCTTTGTCATTCTACTTATTTTCACTGTGACTTTTAATCTTAATTATTTCTATCCTAATGTTCTTACTCTTGATTAGGCCTACAATGTTCATTATCCACATTGCATTTTTCTTTT